CGTTTAGAGCATATGTAAATTCCTTTAATCAATCCTCCTCGCTTCAAATTACTTGTTCCAGTTAGCGGTAGATCAAGTACTGACTATTCCAAGATTTTGAAATGAATGGGAGTCCTCTCAATTCTGTCAAACTAGTTCCCGGACCACATGTTTAATTTTTTATACGTGTAACTTTGAAACATAGTATCATATTGCTATTGCTAATTAATTTTCTGCAATAATTTCACAATTCAAAGGAACCCGCCATGCTGCTACATTATTATATCTTGTTACTTTATAAATATAAGTAGCGTTTTATTTTAGAATGAAATCATATATTGCAATGAGTAAAAGGGTGGTAGTATGTACAAAAAAGGCATAGAAATATTACATATACTCTCTTTTAATTCATGTCATCGCATCGCGAGTGTGATATCTTCACTCCCACCAAAGTTGGAGAACATTCCCTCCATCGATACTCCATTCTCCTTCAGGAAATCACTTTCACTAGATTCACCTGATGTTGAAGATGGTGGTCTGTGAGTTCTACGATGTTTGCTCAAATGATCACTCCTCGTAAAACCTTTTCCACATTCTTGACATTGGAACTTTTTCTCACCAGTGTGAGTTCTAATATGCCGTTGAAGTTCATCTGATCTGGTGAAAGCCTTTGTACAATTGAAGAAATTACACTTGTATGGTCTAGTATTACTGTGATTCCGTAGGTGAGCAGATAAGTGGCTAGTTTTACCATAGAGTTTACAGCAAATCCAACAAAAATGAAGTTTCTGGGGAACTGTCTGAACCAATTGTCCAAATACTGCCACAAGACAGAGAGGACACATACATTTGTGGCATTTGTGGGCTGCATCTGGCATTGTTGCTGCCAATCCGTTTGAACTTTCAAGGACTGATTTGGGGAGCAGAAGATGAGGTAGTTTCTTGAGAAATTCCAGCTCTGATTCAAGTGGAGGAGAGTGAATCGGTTCTTTCAGAATCTTCACTTTCTCTCTACTCGGAATCAACCAAGAGGGAAATTTTCGCGACTGCGTGGTTGGCGAATTTTGATAAGTGGGCAAAGGAGAAGGAAGCGTGGATAGGATTGGCAAGGGACTTGGAATCGAGAGTCCGTCATTTGTTAAAAGCTTATCTGTCAATAGAAGTGGGATCTGGGATAATAGAGAATGAGTATTTGGGACTGCATTATTGAGAAGTGCGAGGGTTCGTGACTGGAGGGCGAGAAATTCGCAACTATTCCAGAAATCATTGGTCGATGAGAGTGAAGCCGTTTTTTCTTCAGATTTAAACGCATTCGCCTGCTGGTCACCACTTTTCCCCATATTTATTGAACGAAATATTCCCTCCATGTCTGAAATTAAAAAAAGCGTTGTTTTGTTACTGTAATGAAAACGAATTGTAGTGAATAAAATCTATTCGAATTCTTAATCATTGGACTCAAGCATTCCTAGCAAATGGGCTATATTTCTGGTGAACATTTTTGTCCGTCGTCAATTCCATGATTATACCGACACAATAGTAAGATGAATACAAATACAATTTGACTGAAAGACATAATTATATAACTGTGATAATAATAAAATGCCATGACCACTGAAGCAAAAGCCTTTGGTGCCTTTAACCGTTTTCGTAATGAAAAACGACCGAAATGTCTAGTTTCTATCAGAATAACCAGGAGGGCTGAAAACCGTTAATTCAATCCTAAAAATGTAAGGAGTGATGGTGTAAATTCAGCTTCTCTCCAAATCGGTGTCGAAAATCACCATTTATTGCGCTCTGGGGGTAGGGGGGGGGGGGGGGGGGGGGGGGGGGGTGAGTGGGAGGTGCATAGGTGAACGGGTACATTCCACATGCCAAATTTGACGAGATCGATAATCATTGTTGTACATCTATTGGTGGGAATGGTCGATCGCTTCGCCTTATTCCGATCAACAAGACACTTTCCTTAATATTCAGGAATTATTAAAATTTTAGTATTGATTAAGAAGTACATCGCAAGTTTGCAATAATGACACAGAGAGATCAATAATTAAGATGGACCCAGTGACATATATTAGAAAAGAATGTCTAAACTTTGCGAAGAATTGAGCAAGCGGTTTATCTGAACTCTTGGGTTGGAGGATCTAGGTCAGTGTCTAGCAGAGTTTCCAATGTATGAATACCCTCCATGCCTCTTTTTAACCCCACGCCATAGTGAATCTCATCATATGGCGCTTTTTCTCTCATATTGCCGAGATATCGCAATTAGTTTGCTTTATATTGCCCAGTCAAAACAAGTCAGCTTTTATGAAACAGCAATTAATTTTAATGTGAATATACATAGCCGATTTCATTGCTTTCAATTAAAATACTCCAAATAAACCCCCCCCCCCACCCTTCCCTCCGCTCGATTCGAGCTGTGTGAAAAGGAACCTGGAGTTGCCATTATGAGAACATAATTAATCCGCACATTTAGTCACTCACATCAATGTCTGTACTCAAATAAACTTCCATCCTTTCACATTTAACTAGACTGATGTGGGCAGTTATTTGTTTAAAAAATAGTTTCATTTGCACAATTTCAAGTATCCACAAATCCACATTGGCTGATGTTATAATGACCAAATGAATATTTAAACATATAAATAGCAATAATGCAAGATCTCTTACCCGGACTTCAAAATGTTTTCTTCATAATATTAGGTGTCTTTCAGACGCAATACTTTATAAAAACACTCAACCAATCCCTAGTTAGGGAGGGTAGAGGATTTTGCGCTAATATTGAAAGAACCAATAGGAGGTGACTGATGCCTGACGAGCAACCGCAGCGTGCACAGTACGCACCCACCTTGCTTATTTGTGAACTTCTGGGATTTTTCCACAAAAATAGTGCTTTTACTATCAGCAATTAATGAAATGTTTGAAGATATTTTGAAATTTACCTCTAAAATTGTCTTTCAGAGCAATAGTTTAGATACCTTAATATACGTTTATTGGGGTGTGCGATAGATTTACCTCCACGTGGTGCACCCTGGGCAACGTATTCTCATACGGCAAAAAAGTCTATTAACTGGCAGTTGACTTCTCACTTTAAACTACCATCACCTCATTCTATGCCATACTCGACTACTTCCACAGTACTCACCTCACCTTTTTTCTACCTTTTCTACCTTCATCTTTGAAACACTCTTCTGTTCCCCCTACCGTCTCGACTTTTATCACATTGATGTTCCTTTCCCTCTGTGAAGCCTGAAGTCAACTAAACGGCTAATGATAACTATCAAAATGCCTGCCATTTGATATAAATAAATAAATAATTCGTTTATTAAATTATATAGCAAAATAGAGGAAAACACTATTTTAAAATTGTCACTTCAAGTATCTTAAAGCTGAAGTTACTTAGAAAAACGAAATATGAAAATCGACATTCCTGTAGTCAGTGACAATTCATTCGATGGACTTGCTGGGTAACACCTGGATGGCGATCAGGTGGGAACTTCATCTGAAAAAAATGGAGACAAAACTGTAACAACACCTAAACAAAAACCTGGAAAGATAACGAGTTACGTAGAAATTAATTTGAGTAAATGTTTTTGCCTCTCGAAATGGCTTTGCTGAAGGCATTTGCGCTACTTTAACCCTATTAATAATAAAAATTTCTTTTTAAAAAAGAAAAAAATATATATTGTTTTGTTTAAAGTACACCTTTCTCTTATATTATATCTTTTGGAACAAGTTAATAATTAAAATCTTATTTTGATCAGTATCAATTTCTTAATACACGCGTAACATTTTAAAAGCTCTCGATTTCTGTAAATAACGCCTTAGCTATTTACGAATTTCCTAATTGGGCCGAAAATCATTGGACAAATGAAAAGCCTTTAAGAATGATCAGTTTTCTGAAAATTTGGATTGACAACTATTTCCATTCTGCTCTAATCAACCCAGCTGTTTTGACCTTTTAGAATTATATAAAATGGGTGTTTCTTATTGTTTAATTGCGATTGAACTCTAACTACATTTTACATGCATTGCTACTTTTCAAATGTTTCGTTAGAACATTCTAATTAAATTATATTCCTGCGGAAACCACTATTATTCACAAAGTTAAGTTCAGGCGAGATGACAACTGTTATTTTTACTGATCTATCCCTTGTAAAGGTTCCCATTCGCAATTCTCCGATTAACTGGAGTTAAATCCACCCTTTTATATGTGATTTCTGTATCAATATAACAAATTAATCATTTTTTTCATAATACTCTAAACTTAAGAAAAAATTCTGATTTGGGGTTGATTGATTAAAAGTTCTCTGTTACTGTTGTAAATTTTCTTCTTCCTTATATTTAACTGATTTAATACAATCTCAATAATGAAGCCGCTATAAATGATCAATGCAACATATTAGATTATTGAAATTTTACGCTTAATGATGTAGTAGTAAATAAAAATTACCCCTTCTGGTTGGTACCAAGGGAAACAAGAATTTGTGCTATTAGCGTTAGGTGGTAATCATTCCGAGTTAATTCAAAATGTTGATCACTATCCGTGTGCTCTCGTGTCATTTTTTCTGCAAAAGTTTCAACCCCCCTCTCGCTACTGACATTTTTTTCTGAGAACGTTTGCGAGAAGATGGCGGTCACCTTTCAATAGTTGTCCTTCCACACGGGTGGCTTCATTTCCAATAGCACTGCATATAAAGATTTTTATAATAAGGGATCTACTCGATTGACGCCTGATATTGCGAATATTCGTATGACAAATGGGAAGAGAACCGAACCGAAATTCCGAATGGAGACACCTCTGAGACGGTCAGTAATTCCATGATAGGTATCAGTTAAAAAAAACAAAAATTTTAGTGGGTTGGGGGGGGGTATTTACGAACTGATCATGCGAATCAAATCAGCGACTTCTTGCAAAATCGGTTTAATGAAAATTAAATGAAGGGACATAAATGTCAAAAATCAGGTAAACCGATGAGTAAGTGTACAATCTGTCCATTATATAGACATAATAAAATGGTCTTTGAGAATGAAAAATCTTGCGGATGTTATGGTGTATTTACAAAATACGCCTACTGAAATGGTCATACCTAACTTTAACCATTCTATATTATTAACGAAATTTGGAATTATAAGAAAGTGTTTCAATTATGATTACTTGGCAGCACTTTCTAGAAGACACCAAAAATCAAGAATGAATTCAATTCAAAGCGACTTAAGTAAAGACACCTTATTGGTAGAAATTAGATCAACAAATCCTGGCAATATATCATTGGCACTTGTATTTTCCAAAATACAGTAGGCAAACGCTCACTTCCTGCTGTTATGAGCTTTGAATAGCCCCTCTAGATTGCCTAAGGGGAAAAAGGAACGAACTATGTAAACGATAGGAAAATAAGAGAGAGAAGTAATCAGAAAGCGAAGGGCCATGAATTCACAAGAAAAGCCATTTATTGGAGTGATTTTATTAGCTCATCATTTTTGTTGAGTTAATGGCCACAAAAGGTACTGATAAGATGTTGGTCATAATGCGCCACCCCACCCCACCCCCCACCCCCCCTCCCTCCTTGAGGAGAACGTCTAAAGGTGGGTGGGAGGGAAAAGTGTGCAAGGAAAGGACCCTGCAACGCGATTAATCTCATATCTTAATGCTACCTGTTGACGGCTAGAAGGGCGGACAGGAGATACTGCGGTAAGATAAAGACGTAGGTGGAGTAGGAGGCAGAGCTAAGTGCTACTTACAACACCCAAACCATCTGCTCCTTCCACTTGGAAGGAAAGTAGATCACTATCTTGACGTCCGACTAATATACTTACTTAACTTGGTAGAGCACTCGCCCGCCCTATGCTTTCTGAGTAGAAGAAATTCAGGTATTTTGTTTAAGTGAGAAAACAACTTTCGTTTATTGATAAGCAGTTTGAAAGAAGATTAACTATGTGAGGGGTTCTTTAAATAACAGTCAATTTTAAATCGGCATGTATAAAGAGTCAATTAGTTGATTTGCCAGAAATTATAAAGCAAAGTTCCTAATTATACAGAGAGGTGTTGGCTTTTAACGTGATCTATGGTAAATAAACGTATATTAATTAATGTTAGTAAAAGCTCAATAGGATGAAATCAATTAATTTGAAAAGCACATTAGAAGATTTTATACCAATCTACTCTAATTACATATAGGAAATAAAAGTGTATATTTATTTTAAATCGAGCAAAAATACTTATAAAATAGGTTAAAACAAGTGTCAAAGTAACAAATTGGTATTGAATCCAATTAACCAGAAATTTGTTCAATTTCCCACTTTTTGAGTTATTATTATTATTATGACTCATTCCAATTAAAAC